CCCCCCAAAATTATCAGTTGTCTCCCAGGCACAAAACAGGCTCTGATTAAGATCTGTGCTGGATTCCAGCTCTCCTTAGTAATTGTGCCCTTGACAAGTATACTTATCTTCTCCAAGTCATGTTTGTTTTGTTTTTATCATCTGTTAAATGGCTAAAATAATGCCTTTGGTGTTGTTGTGAGGAGGGTGTGGTCTGACTAAGCATCTGGGCGGACACTGCAGGGTTCTTTTCCAACGTAGTGTTTATCCGGAGGCCTGAGAGCCTGTTCAGACTGCGAGCCTGTGCTGCCTCTTAACCTCTTTTATCACCCTTATACTCAACGCAGATAAACTGGTGGGAATGCAAGGATAAGATCATGGAAATCCTTTGAGATTGGCTCTATTATACATAACTAAAAGGTATTATTATGTCTTATTATGATGTTCTTTGGGAACTTTTAAAAATCCCTCTCTGGGAAATTTTAGTCAGAGTAGAATTTCTAAAAATAGGGAAGCTCCTGAAATTACTCCCTTAACTTCCCTTTTTCCCTGGACATTTTAATCATTATAATGTTTATATCTTCTGAAAGACCAGGATTACAGAAGTAAATCCTTCTTAATCACCAACTCACATTTTTAGATGTTTCTTCTTCTAAGAACTGAAAGACATCAGAAATAAAACATCAACTTAGTGGTTAAAATTGGAGAAGGAGGAACATGGCCAAACAGAATGCTTGGAATTTGAAAAGAAAATAGTGTGGTGAGCCCATCACCATTTAGGGCCTTGCTGAAAATGCAACTATTTCTGCAGGAAATGCATGTTTAAAAACAGAATAAAAAACTATTGTTCCTCCCATGTTCTCTTAAATGTCTTCCCCATTGTCCTTCCTTTAATTAGCTATGCACTAATTACCATTCACTATTGTTCCTTTCATGTGTCAGCCAGGTTGCCAGCTCTCTGAAGGCAGCCGTGGTACCTCTCCCTGTGCCGCCTCCTCCATGGCTGGCACTGTTTCTTGCTATCACCTGCAGTCAACAATTATGCTCATTTTTACTTCCTCACTCAGAAGCCTTCAGTGACTCTACACGGTTCCTAAAAGTGGTCCTCAGATATTTTTTGGTTGTATGTGCTTATCAGTAAACCAATGTTTACATAGTCTCTCCCCCCTCCTCTCTCTCACACACACACACACACACACACACACGTAATTTATTTTAAATTATTTATATGCTATTGCACTTCACTTTTATGTAAATTATAAACATCTACCAAAATACATGAACAAGTATAAATAGAGTTTCTAATATTTCCTCTCTGTACATCTTGCACAGCCCACTTTGTAGGATAAAATCCAGGTTCTTTTGAATCATAGTCTTCTTGAGAGTACCCAGCGGAGGTAGGGTTAAGGAGGTCAGTTTCCAGATTCTGAACCACCCAAGGTCCCTCTCCTGAAAGTGATCGGCCTGGGAATGGCTGGCATTGAACCAGTTCCTCTTGTCCAGCCTCCCCTTCCCAATTGCTCTGGCTTTTCACAACAGAAAGACAACCCTCAGCCATCCTCAACTGTGCTTTGTCCCCAAACGAAGGGATGACTTGAGAATGCATCACCCCGGAGAGAGAACCTCTTGAGAGCTTAAGTAAGAGACACTGGCAGGGCAGTGCCGTCTTTCATCCTGGACAAATTCCTGGCAAGTCTCTGCCTTGGACAATGACTATCTTAGAATTACAAGTCACAAGTGAGGTTGTGGAAGAACTTGTAGTAAGATAGTGCTTTTAATTTAAAAATGAAGCTAAATTTTTTTCTGATACAAATTAAGTCTAATGTAACTGACCAGTTTGACTATGTAGTCTGGTTTTGCCAATTAAGTCATATTTTCCACAAGTGGAATTGGCTAGGTCTGTGGCTCCACATTTTGGATGAAAATATATGCAAAACACCCAATAGACAATATACCTTAAATGTCATCATTTGTAACTATTTCAGCTTCTGATGACCTCTGCCGTAAGCTAACACTCACAGTATTTATAACCACCCCACTCTTTTCCAGCTCATCTCCGGTCAGTCCTCCTCAGGCTTCCAGCCACACCACACTCATGCCCCTGGGGACTCTACCTGTAGATGTACTTATGCCAGTTCCTCCATGGGAAATACCCTTCCCTCCCATCTCTGTGAATGTGTTGAATTCCTATCTAACACCTGCTTGATCTGTGGCACTAATTAGGCATTGAACATGCAAAATGAACATAATAATAGCCTTGTCCCAATTTTCATAGACAAGGAGATTCTAGAATGGGAGACAGACAGATGAGCAGCGACAATATGGTTTGACAGAGCTATGATGGGGAACCCTGAGGTGGTTGGGAACTCAGCAGGGGAACCCTGCCTTGGGGGGAGGGTGTCAAGGAAATCTCAGAGGAAGTGACCAAAAAGCCAAGCCCTAATGATACACAGGAGTCAGCCTGACATTTTGTAGGGAGGGGAGAGAAGAGGACTGATCTACGCTGAGAGAACAAAAGTGAGTTGGATCGGCATTGTTAAAGCAATTCCCCTGTGAAGTCAGTATTTTGACCATAGGAGACACAGTTACCGAATTCTAGGGCCCAGATATAAATTTCTACCAAGTTCAATCTATTTCATGTTTTTGAGAGAATGGTCACATTCTCTCAAAGGCCTAATTTAGAACAGGCTGAAAGTCAAGGGAGAGGTCATCTCCAGAAGAATTTTCCCTCACTATTTGCCAAACACAAAATATTTGAACCCCAACCTCATTTGCTGAAGGAATGGGTAGTCTTTTTATATAGGGTTAACCAGAAATAGTTAATACTCAGTGAATACCCTTGGGATGTCTGTGAAGAAACTGACAGGTAGTTTATATATGTGGCTTGTTCTGAGGGCGGAGTCACCCTCTAAACAAACAAAATGAAACAAGGAGAACCACAAAAGAGAAAACATTCTGTTTCCAGGACCGCCCTGTGCCACACAGAAGAGACAGTGAGGGCTCAAGGCATCTGTTCTCACTGCTCCACCTCTGCTCCCGGAGCGAGAGGCCTGGAGGCACTTCCCCGAGAGATGTACAATTCTCCACTTCATGCCACCACTCACATGCTGATTTGTTATCATGCTATTTATTTCTATGAAAGACTTTCCTCCACAAATACATGAACAGAAGAGAAGTGTGAGAGATGTGGCATTAGGCATCAAGTATTTCCTGTACTGGTTACAATTCGGTTCCTAATAACTCTTTGTTCATTCAAAATAGAAAATGTACTCAATGTTCTAGTTCTCTGATACAGTCCACCCATGTACCATCACAATAGATTTTTATTTTATTTCTCATCCTGTTTTCTTCTTCAAGTACCCATATGCAGGTGAACATGATCTCTAGGACGCTATTCACTATGGCAGTACAATCAGTAGGTCTCACTCATGACAGCTTAGTCACTGAAGCACCAAAGGATGTCCTTATAAACACTGACTATATACGGAAGTCATGTGACATGGACCCCAAGGACTCCATAGCCAGTGAGGTTCCAACAGGCTATATTGTTGGTAAAGCTACTTCATCTCTTTCAGGAAGACCATTATAAATTCATCCCAGAACACAAAAAGTTATTTTTGTTAAAAAGTTATTATCAAGTTCTGCAGGCTCAGACCCGTGTTGGATAACATTTTTCCATTACAAATGTTTCCTATCAGTGATGCCATATTTTTCCAGATGGGTGGGCCAACTGTAATTCTGCTCTACAATTATTATTTCTACCAGTTCCCCAAGCATTTTCTGATTATGGCCTTTATATATATATATATATTTTTTTTAACACCGAAAGCCAGGCTTTATTTTGAGAGTCGGTTGTAAGCATCTAGTAGCACACCTCTGGGTAAGGGCGACGAGTGTCTCACCTTTTCGGCGATACACATTTGATATCAGTACACTGTGGAGGCTAAATCTAGATAGCAAAAGCACAATACAAAGAAATGATTGGCATCCTTTCAACCCTCAGCAGAATCCCAGACATCTTGTTTTGCTGCTGGCCCCACTCGCCATGCAGTCTGTGGCTACATGGAGGAATGTGGAGGGACACATGACGCCTGACCAAGTGGGGCTGGTATCGTGGCTTGAGATGGGTTTGGCTTGGACACTATTCCTCCTCCCAGCCCACTCGATTGGCAGAGGGTCGGAACTGGGTGCAGCTCTTAGTTTAGGCAGCTGGCAACAGAGAGGGCCGGAGCAAATTCTGCCCACCAGTGCTGCTCATGAACTCTTCTGGTGTCCTCCTTAGGTTCTAAGAATTCAGTGAAAACGAAGGACCCTAGAAACGTGCACATTCATGTAAGATGGAGAATATATGCTGCAAACACAAGGAGGGAAGGCAGCCAAATTGGAGGCCAATGTTAGTAAGTACAGGAGGAAAGTGATTCCTTTCTTTCTTTTTTAAAAAAAAATTATTTTTATTGATTTCAGAGAGGAAGGGAGAGGGAGAGATAGAAACATCAATGATGAGACAGAATCATTGATTGGCTGCCTCGTGCACACCCCACACTAGGGATCGAGCCCGCAACCCGGGCATGTGCCCTTGATTAGAATCGAACTTGGGACCCTTGAGTCCACAAGCCAATGCTCTATCCACTGAGCCAAACCAGTTAGGGCCCTTTCTTTCCTTTTTCCAGTTTTATTGAGAGATAATTGACATACAGCACTGTATACTAGTAAGTTTAAGGTGTAGGGCATAATGATCTGACTTACATGTATTATGAAATGATCTGATTATGGCCTTTAAAGTTTGCAACAATGGTGAAGATAGGTTTATATTGATGTATATAAATGTGCTTGCAAATGGGTTTAGACCCTTATGTGGAAAGGGTCTGAAGTCTCCTAAATAGAAAATCTTCATAAAGTAAATCAGAACAGACTTAAGAGTTTGGAAAACAGGGGGGTGGGAATGGCTGGGGAGCAGGGGGATCAATCGGGGAAAAAGGAGACACATGTAAAACTTTAGACAAAAAAAAAAGTTTGGGAAATGGTAGCAGGACTTAGTGACTTTATAACAAACACGGCCAAGGCCACATTTTAGCACCTCCCCACTCCCAGATTAACTTCATTTCTGTCACCCTCTTCACTTTTAAAATTCCTTCCATTCAGCAAACTCAGTTCCATTCAGGGGAACAAACACCTTGTAACTTCTGTTCCTGATACTTCTCTGTGTACAGTGATGGAAAATACAGTTTTAGTTTTCAGTCCTGCTGCTGTCATGAGATGAATTAGGCCTCCTCCAAAGCCCCAGGTTTTCCTAAGAGGACACCTAAAAAACATATGCCACTTCATTTATGCCCGGGGGCTTCTCAGAACTGAGATCATTTTCTTGTAGAGGGACAGTTTAGTCTCATTTTTGATAAGTTGACTACATGTAAATGCTACCTTGGTGCCAGTCTTTCCCCGGCAAATGCTGGGCCTTCACCTGCAACGCGATCTCCCCTTCCCGGGGCAGGGCCTTGCAACGTCGCGGAGCGTCCAGCAGATGGCGCCGCAGCTGAATTTTCGGAGTTGCTCTCTAAGCCTGCAGGAGTCTGGAATAAACAGGAAGGAGAATTTCTTTTTTAAAGCATTCGAATTTTCAGCATATATTTCTCTCTCTTCCTTTCTCTCTCTCTCTCTCTCTCTCTCTCTCTCTCTCTCTCTCTCGCTCACACACACACACACACACACACTCTATTTTACTCAGTTGAAATTCATTTGAGTTGTTTAAAAATTCAGTGATTACGCAATCCCAAATATGTGTTTTTAAGGATTTCCACTCTTTCAAAGGACCCAACAAGCAAGTTACCACGTATTATAAACTTTCTTAAGGGCACAGGGGTTCAGAAATGTTAGCAGGCAGCGAAGGCTGCCTCTGAAAAGACCAGCAAGGCGTGGCGGAGGGCAGCTCCGCCGGGCGGGGGCGGAAGTGACCTTGGTGGCGGGCAGGGCGGCGGCCGCGGAGCCCCGAGCACAGCGCCGCCTGCTGGTGCAAAAGGGGAGCCAAAGCCTGTGGCCTCCTCCCGGGGCGCTGAGACCCGCAAGCTTCCAAACATGGTTGCACTCAGGGCGCAGCACGTAATGCCTCCACCAAACAAAACTGCAAGTCGTGGGTACAACCAGAGCAGCCTTTGTGTTGAGAAGAGAAACCTAGAGGCCCAAAATGGTTTTGGTATACAATGTTTCAGAGGGTTTGACTGTTTTTAATGCTTCCTAAAGCTTAAACAGAGTGGATTTGATTTTTGTGGTATAATTGTTAGGACAATTCTAAAGGAGAGTGAAAAATAGAACCTGGTAGGGGCTCTCTTTCATTTATCTTATCCTGCTTTAAATTATTTACAAAATATTAAAAGAGGTTATCAGAAGCAAATGGGGGAAGGGGGGGTATGGGCAGGGGTTGAGTTTCAAAGGTGGTTGTGCTTATTTCTCACGATGGCCCCTCATTTTTATTCCAGGATTGTTGCAGTGCCATTTTAGAGTCCCTCCTCCTCTCCCCACTTCCTTTTCCTCTTCACTCATTTGACAGGAGCCTCTGCAACCATCTGCTTAGATCACGTCATCGTCATCCACTGGGAGAGAATTGTGGTACCACCTTTCTCCCCCTATGGCTGAAGCACACAGAAAGATGAATTGCACTTCTGCTCCTGAGCCAGCGTGATTGCTGGGAATTGTGACCTGCAAGATGATGCCAACGTGCAGCTTCCTGGTTTTTAACTGCATAGAGCTTTATGCTGCCCTTCATTAAGCTGATGCGTTCGCTTCTAGAGCCCTGTCCTTCAGGTTGCCCAAATGATGTGCTAATAACCTTTTGTCCCTTCCATTTACAGAGAGACTGCATTAAGTGTAAGAATTGTACACTTCTGCTTTCTTCTAGGCAGGGAATGAAGACCCATAAGTGGACAGTTTCATTTTGTAGGAGGCCACCTGCAAGAAAGTGATAGGGGCCTGGATTCAACCACAAAGCCAGAACAGCAGCATACCGTTTCTCCCCCTACCAATAAAAACACAGGTCTAGGAATGCTTCCCATTGGAGACAAGATGCAGTCAGGCTAAGGGAGGGTCCCTAAAATTGCGCTTGGCAGTAGCTCTTAAGACTATCCTTATGGTGACTTTTGCTCTTTATAATAGGAAAAAACACACCCCTGTGTGGAGATTTAGGAGGCTAAGGAGACATGCGTAGTATGACAAAGCATGTAGCTCTACAGCACTTTCTCCAGCCGATGCCAGCCCTCCAGAAGAGAGACCTGAAAGATCAACCCGGAAAGGGACTCGCCCAGTGCAGGTTCGGCAGAGGTGCGGGGAGCCACATCCACTTTCTGTGTGCGCTCTTGATGCATCAAGCTTTGGTCTCTTCCCTCTAAAGTTTAAGAAGTCTTTTCTGTTCGTCCCCTCCCATGATTTCTATCTAGGGCCGTGGTCGGCAAACTGCGGCTCACAAGCCACATGCAGCTCTTTGGCCCCTTGAGTGTGGCTCTTCCTAAGCCTTAGGGGTACCCTAATTAAGTTAATAACAATGTACCTACCTATATAGTTTAAGTTTAAAAAATTTGGCTCTCAAAAGAAATTTTAATTGTTGTACTGTTGATATTTGGCTCTGTTGACTAATGAGTTTGCCGACCACTGATCTAGGGGAAAACAAGAACCTACCCTTCAGTTGGTAAATATTTGAACTAGTCCTGTTGTTTATCAGATCTCTGTTCTCTGACATGAAAATTCCCATCTCCCATCAGGGCATAGCTGTAGGCATAAATTATAGGCATTGGTTCAAAACAGAGCCCTCTCTTTCGTCCAGTAGCATCAGAAACACCATAATTAGGAATGTAAGGGAAACAGAAATCTTCTTGGGGGTCCAGGAGAAGAAAGGTTGGGCTCCCAAGTCCTGTGCATGACCACGTGGGCGGTAGTCTTCACAATCTGAATCCAAGCGGATGAGACCACGGAGAGCTCAGTGTTCCGAGGACAAAGAGGAATGGATATATAGTAACTTAGTGAATCAGAGTGTTAAACAAAAATTTTAACTGGCACGGCTAAAAATCGTTTCAGAAGAAAGATTTTATTAGGTCATTGCTAGCAAATAAGAAGACGACTGGTCTTAGGGCATGGAGTCGAAACCACCTGCAGCCTGGCTAGGTAGAAAAGACAGTATGTCCATCGTTCCGGAGTTTTGCAAGTGTTTTTGTACATCAGGTACGGGGAGAAAGATGTGAGCCATTCTGAAAGAATTTGCATTAGCTATAGACACGGGATGGGAGAAGGTGAAGCGGATGCGTTTTAAGGGAGGTGCCGCAGAGTCTCAGGAAGAAGTGTCGGCCTGTGGACTCGCTGTGGGCAGGAGGTTGGAAAGTCCATGTGTAAGTGAGAAGCGGGGGCTTTTGGGGTTCAATGGCACCTGGCTGTTCTCTCTTTTGGATAAACTCTGAAATAGCCAACTAGAAATTAATCCTAAATGTCAGCAGGTACACAGGAAATGGGAGCAGTATTTTGTCAGAGCTGGACCACAGCTATGACCAGACTAAATATCGTGTCTCTTTCTCTCACCCTCAAGCCGCTGTACTTCGCATTTAGATCATCTCTGAATTTTTTTTGTTGTCCAGGGACAAGACCCAAGACGATGTCTGATGTGTTTATTCGCAGAGAAACTGGAGTGAAGGAGAGGAATGCCGCCCGAAGTGTTACTGTTATAAAAGTGTCCTTGGGGGAGAGGGTGCGTGAGCAGGGCAGCTGATCGCATTAAGCGTGTGCAGGCAGGCACACATCTGCCCACAGCCCCAGGACTGCTGAACCCAGGGTTACTAAACTAATCCGCAGAGACCCGGCCCTAAGCCTCTCTGCGGCAGTCCGGAGGGAGTCAGTCGGCGCAGACAAAGGGAAGAGGCTTCTCCAAGGGGGAGGGGTGCCCGCTTTCTCTTTGTTCTTCCTTGGAAAGCCGGCTCTCTCTCAAGTTTCATAAGCCAGCTGCTTTTCCCTCTTGCGGGAGGGCAAAATAAATTCATTGCCAGTAATGATTTGAAAAGCGTATTTTTGGAGCCCTGAGCTCTGCTAGTAAAAAGCAGGGTCAAACTACTAGTATAAAATGCTCACACGGTGAACATGTTTATTCTGGGTTTCAAGGCAAAGATTTCAGAAAGGTGCATCTCTTTGTCAAATAAAATTAAAAATAAAAAGATCACTTCCCGGGGCTACGCCTGTCTGAGTGTCACTTAAAAAAAATAATAAATAAATAAATAAATAAATAAATAACTCATCTTCAGAAAGGGTGGTAGAGACAAAGATGTTTGAATCCCAGTTAACCTAATAATTACAGGCCCTGCACCTTACACTTAAGACTCTCGTCTTCACAGAGGTAGGGTTTAATGAGCGAATTCCTTTGTCTGCTAAGAAACCCCTTCAGCAGTATAAGGGCTCCCTGAAAAATTACACCTTTTCACACTGTGATTTTTTTTCTTATAAGAATGATTTAACATAGCTCCTTTAAAACTAAAACCATTCAGAATTGTCTATCCCTAATTTAAGTGTTGAATTAAGACAAAGGGTGCTTGTTCCTGAATAAGCATGCCACTCTCCGAGCACTCAGGGATCTGCTGCTGCCTGGACTGATTAAACATTTACTTTTAAAATTTATTGATTTGAGAGAGAGAAAGAGAGAGAGAGTGAGTTTTTTTTGTTGTTGCTCCACTTATTTATGCATTCACTGGTTGATTCTTGTATGAGCCCTGACAGGGGATCGAACTCACAGCTTTGGTGTATTGGGATGATACTATAACTAACCAAACTACCCGACCAGACCTCTGGACTGATTTTAAAACAAAAGCTACATGTGGCTTCTACACTTGACAGTTGAGATGGCCTGTTATGTCCAGTGGGGCCTGCTGGAATTGGTTTACAGACACCACAGACAATGGGCTCCATGGGTCAGAGAAAGATTACTGGGCGGAGACAGACTAGGCTGACATTTTGGAAATACTGTAGGTTTATTTCCTGGGGATTTACACACACACCCTCAAAACAGGTACTTTCAGTCCCTTCACATGGCATCCTCAGGCTCCTTAATACAGTTCCTATTCTCTGGGGATTTTAATCCGCTCACTAAATATCAGCTATTTTTTCTGGAATATATCTGCACATTTCTACTCAACTGAGCCTCGGGGCGTGTGGCTCAGAGCAGCCGCATTGCCAGGCCAGCACTCTCAAGAGGAAGTGAGAGCAGCCCCAGCCAGGAAACCAGCCCCGTGTCAGCCTATGATCTAATGGCTCAAGTTCTATAGATGAGACCCAGGTCAGCTTCCAAAATAATCCTGAAGCTAGATAAGGAACAAATAAGCAGGTATTAAAGGTATATATGCATACACCTTTGTAATTAACAGAAATATTTGATAAAATAGCCACTGGGCATGTATATCCATAACACTACCCTGTGTTTATGTTATTAACTGTTACCCAGAGAGCGTATTACAGAATGCCTTCACTTGGCAGGTTCAAAGTTCTTCCCAGTATTCACCTTGCACATTTAGGTACTTCATCTTAACAACAGCCAGCACTTCCTTTATGTTTCCCACAGGACTCAGCGGGGTATTAGACATGCAGTAGGCACTCCGGGAATACGTGCTTTAAAAAAAAAAAAGAAATAATGGAAAAAGGAACAATGAATGGTTGCATTTTAATCCTGAGATTAGGCCTGCCTTTATTGTCACATCTGAGGAGACTGGATAGTGATACTTATAGACGGAAAACAGAAGTGAGGATATTGCACCTTCTCTGACTTACGGCTGCTGACTTTCCTAGAGACCAGGAACTTCACATGCATATCTCCTTTAAACCTCACCATATCTCTAGAGGCTAAGTTTACTATGATTGCTACCCTTACTTTACATACGACAAAACATTACTCAAGTCACACAACTCATAAATAGCCACATCAGG